ACACACACACACACACACACACACACACACACACACACACACACACAAAAATGGCAAACCCCTAATTTGAAAACTCCAAGTTTAATGACAATTTAGAAAGACAGAATCAGACTGATACCCATCCCTCCCTTTTTACCTTCTCTCTCTAGCAGATGACGAGGATGCAAAGCTAACGTTGAACGACCTGTACAGAGCGTCCCTCTTGCAAATGCTGCCAGAGATTTTCGGTGCAGAAAGAGATCAAGAGTCCAGGAAAGCTGGTAAAAACAAAACAAAACAAAACAAAAAAACAGTAAAACACAAATAAATAGACTTTGTACTGACTAGCAGATTAATGTTATCAGTAGTTAATATAGTCCCTTGAATTTACTGGTTAGTTCCACGTACTTGATGGGATGAGGTAAGTTTTGGAAGAAAGGTCGAGTAGCCAACATGCATTCATGAGAGCTATTCTGCCTGCCTTGATGGCTCTCAATACCATATTCAGCTCTGTCCCTGACCCCGACCCCTAGATCCTGCTCTCATTCATCTGTAAACATCACTTTCATTTCCTGCTTTACCTCTTCCTTTCTTTTTCTTTATTCTAAAACAGTTTTCTTCATGAAAGATAAGGGAATTTGATGGTTATGATTTAAAAAACAATTTGGTGGCTAAATAGAGGTTGTGCTTCATAAGAAAGACATGATATAAAGGAAATCATAGGTGTCACATGAAACATTTTAATTATGTTATTAGTTGGGGAGGCAGCTAGGTGGTGAAGTTTTGGGCTTGAAATCAGGAAGACTCATCTTCCTGAGTTCAAATGCAGCCTCAGACACTTACTAGCCATGGGGCTCTGGCTGAGTCATTTTACTCTATTTGCCTCAGTTTCCTCATTTGTGATATGAACTGGAGAAGAAAAATGGCAAACCACTCCAGTATCTTTGCCAAGAAAATCCAAAATGGATTCTCAAAGAGTTGGACATGACTGAACAATGGTTGGGGAAAATATTATATAAAAATCTGAAAAAATTCAATTTCAAAGGAATATAGACTGTCCGAGCTCTCAGCTGGGAGGTCATGTATCAAATCCCTTCATTTGACAGGTGGAATAACTGAGGCCCAGAGTCAAGAAATGAGTTGGCCAAGACCTTTAGACTAGACCTCCAAAAGGGTCTAATTTCTTTGAATTTTACTTCAATTATTTCTTTCCTTTCCAAACTTAATTTTTTTTTTTCTTTTACATTTCTTTCTTACTTCTCTCCTTCCCACATGGACTCTCACTGTGGAATTCTGATGCCACATGTTAGCATGGCCTACATATTAATTAGCAATAGGGAAAACAAAACTAATCTTGAGTTTCTCCCTCTACATACTGGCTCAAGATGAATAAATATTCAGAATCTTTGGGAGGGGAGGAATCTTTGAAATTTGGGGGGTATTTTAATAAAAGAAATGTTTTATGGGAAAATGAATACAATTAAATCTCTTCTAACACAAAGATCTTTGTGGCCACTGCTTACTAAGGAAGATAATATTAATAATAATAAAAATAGCTAGCATTTATTTAGAGATTTAAAGTTTGTAAAATAATTCACATACATTTCTTCTTATCCTCACAACAACCCTGGGAGATAGGAGGGATGATGATGATGATGCCCATTTTTTAGATGAGAAAACTGAGGCAGACAGTGGCAGATTTTGATGCCAGTTTTTGGGGTACTCTGTAATTGCTAGCATGTCTTTAGCACTTTAAGGTTTGCAAAGTGTTTTGCAAATAATTATCTCACTTACTCCTCACAATAACCCTCTGAGGGAGATACTAATATTGACCCCATTTTGCAGATGAAGAAACCGAATCTGGCAGAGGTTGAATGACTTGCTTAGGGTCATGCTGCTAATAAATGTCGAAGGCAAGATTTGAACTTAGGGCTTTATGACCACAAGTCTGTCAAGCTCTCTACTAAGCCACTTAGCTTAGAACCTAAAAAAAGGTTCTAAGTGAAATAACCCGATCTCTGTTGTAAGGCCCCTGGTAAAGACTCAGGACCCAACAATGACTAGTTCCTTCTCAGTGTTTTGAATTTTGTTCTTATCTTTACTCTTTTTCTTTTTCTTTTCTTTTTTCTTTTTTTTTTTTTTTGGTGAGGCAGATGGGGTTAAGTGACTTGCCCAGGGTCACACAGCTAGTGAGTGTCAATATCTTTACTCTTAAAAAAGCTCAGTAGACAAGAAGCTTAGGATATCCACTGTCATTTAAGGACTCATCTCCTAAATATATTGTTTTTCAGATCTTAGTGCTGACATTTTTGACCCACAAGAAAATGTGAAAAAGGTAAGTGGCTCTGTTTGAGAAATTCTCAGTTAACATTTATTAAGCACCTACTATGTTCCAGGCACTGTGCTAAGTGCTGAGAGGTACAAAGGCAAAAGACAGTCCCTGCCCTAAAGGAGCTGGCAAGACAACATGTAACTAATTAGGCACATACAAGATATGTCATTGTTCAGATGTGTCTGACTCTTCATGACCCCATTTGGTGTTTTCTTGGCAAAGATCCTGGAGTGGTTTGCCATTTCCCTCTCCAGCTTATTTTACAGATGAGGAAACTGAGGCAAACAGGGTAAAGTGACTTACCTAGGGTCACCCAGCAAGTAAGTGTCTGAGGCCAGATTTGAACTCATGAAGATTGGCCTTCCTGACTCCAGGCCAGGCACTCTGTCGACTGCATCACTCAGCTGCCCCCAAACTGAGCAGTAGCAGCTAACAAGTAGGATGTAGGAGCCATAATGTGAGAGTACTATGAAGCAAAGTTGGAGAAGTAAAGGCGTTGGGACCTTGAATTCTGGGGAATGTGATTTTTCAAAGAAGCAAAACTCTTAGAAAATCTTCTAAAACCAGCGACTCAGTGGGAAGTTAAATATGGCCACTGGAGATACGCACACAGTGCTTACATTGTCTTCAATGAAAGAACAGAAAAAGAAAAAGTCAAGAGAATGGTCCCTGAAATAAACCAAGGGATGGAGTAACTTCTGAGTAAGATTAGGCTTGAGATGAATAGAAATTAAGGTCTATTTAGAAAAAAAAATTAGAGATGAGATTTAATTGAGACCTATGGATTCATGAAGAGCATAGAATGGATGTTGGAATGGGTGGGGTGCTACTCCTTGATGTAGGTAAGCTTAAGACAAGTAAAAGGAAGAATTAGTTTACACAGTGGGTGGAAACTTAGGGAACTTGTTACCCTAGGGGCAGCTAGGTGGTGATCTGAGTTCAAATCTGGCCTCAGACACTCAGTAGCTGTGCGATCCTGGTCTTTTTGCCTCAGTTTCCTCATCTGTAAAATAGGGATAATAATAGCCCCTACCTTCCAGGGCTATTGTCAGGATCAAATGAGATAATAATTATAAAGCGCTTTGCACAGTGCCTGGCACAGATTAAATGATATATAAAGTTAGCTATTATAGCTGTTATTACCTTGACAGGTCATATAAGCTAAAATAGAAATTGGTTTAAGAAGAGTTTAATCATAGAGAGATCCATGTCTCAACAGCCAAGTTAAAGAGATTGGATGCACCTCTAAACTTCTGAGGTTGGCATCAGGTGGGCAACTGCACGATTCTCCCCCTCTGCCCCCATTCTTTGGCAACATTAGTTTGATTCAATTAAATTGATGTAATTCTTTCCAAATAGAACTGTAGGAATAAAGGTAGCACCAAGATGAGGTAGATAGTCCCTTTGAGCACAACACATTTAAAATAGAGAAAGGGTTTGTTTCAAATTTTTTAAAAATAAACATACCACATACCATTCCAGAACATTCTGCTCTCCAAGTCATTAGTAATGATATCATTGGGGTGTAATTGCAAATTGTTTTCCAGTGTGACTGGATCAATTCATAGCCCCACCAACAATGAGTTTCAGTCAGTCACTAAACATTTATTAAGCACCTACCACGTAGCCAGCACTATATTAAGAGCAAGGGATGCAAAGAAAGGCGGAAGAGTCCCTGAAGAGCTCACAGTTTAAATGATAACTAGGTGCAGACAAGCACTCCATATGTAGCACATTGTATAGGATAAATAGGAAATAATCAATGGAGGGAAGGCATTCACATTAATGGGGATTGGGAAAGGCTTCCTATAGGTGGTGACACTTAGCTGGGATTTGAAGGAAGCCAGGGATTGAAATGTGCCCATTTTCTTGCAGCTTCTCTGATATTTGTCATTTGCCTTTTTGGGCCGTCTTTGCCAATCTGATGGGTGTGAGGTAGAATCTGGGAGTTGCTTACATTTTACATTTTTCTAAGTGTTAGTGATTTGAAACATTTTTTTCCATATGGCTTGGATTTCTTCTTTTGAAAACTACCCATGCATATTTTTTGACCATTTACCAATTGAGACATGGCTGTTAATCTTACTTCCAAAGAAACTGCAAGTTGAACAAATAATTGAAAATTTTGGTTGGTTTTTTCTTTGATTCTATGATTTCTTTTACAACATGACTAATATGGAAATAAGTTTTGCATCAATACATATTAACCTATATAAAATTGCTTGCCTTCTCAACAAAGGGAGTGGGAAGGGAGGGAGAGAATTTTAAACTCAGCGTTTTAAAAACAAATGTTGGAAATTGCTTTTACGTGTAATTGGGGAAAAATAAAACACTAAATAATTTTTTTTTAAAAAAGAAAATTTAGGTTTTAATGCAGTTCTATGAGGAAAAATAGACTTACCTCAATACTAATAATAGCTAGCATTTATATAGTGTTTTGAGGTTTGCAAAGTGCTTTACATGGTTTTTACTCATTTGATCCTCAGAACAACCATGTGAGGGTAGGTACTGTTATTATCCTCATTTTACAGATAAGGAAACTGAGGCATGGAGGGGTTAAGTGACTTGCCCTGGGTCATGCAGGTAGTAAATGTCTGGGGCAGGAAGCAAAGTCAGGTCTTCCTGACTCCAAATTTCAAGCTCTATCCACTGTACCACCTAGTTGCTTACTAATGTACCTTGTTTTTTTTTTTTTTATTTCAGGTTTTTTATGGAAAAGATTCCAAAATCTCACTCCTGAGTCATCTTCTGGCTAGAACCAGGAAACAATTTAAGAAACGTGGGACCCCTTCAGAATGTTTCTGGAAGTACTGCGTGTAAAATGAGATTTAGGCTTCTTCCCCTATTGCTTTATTATATTTATAACCCTCTTGGAAATTATAAATAAAGTTGTTTGATTTAAAAGTAATGGCTTAAAAAACCCCTAAGCAAATAACATTCATTATTGTTTAAAAATAAATCCTCTATGTTTTGCAAGTAGTTATGTGAACATCTTTTCTTTAAATACAGTCTACAGGTACTTTCCTTTATAAAATACTTGTGTCTCTTCCACTCAAGTCCTGCTATAATGATGTCTCCTGGAGTTGTAAAGGTGACCTTGGGTCCGCAAGGTCTAAGCCAGCAAATTTCAAGCTCTAATAGTTTTGATCGTTGGGCTAGACAGGCTTAGAGTTTGGGTTTAGCAATATACTATATGTCTCTTATCCAAGGATCAGAGATTCATTTCCAGAAAACTGGCTACAGAAACTTGCGAAGATGGTCTATTAAGGTGTGGAAGGGCTGCAACCCATATAGGAAAAAATACTCACACTGAACAAAACACAGTCTTCTTTTTTTTTTTAAAGGATGATGGAAATAAGTATTTCCTATAATGCTCTCTCTCCTCCCTTCCCTTCCTCCATTTTTTGATTTCTCAAAAGTGTATTTCATTTAAAGGTTAACAGTAACAACTTTGAACACAAAATAAAAGCCAAGAAAATGGGGGAGGGGGAAACCAACAATCCAGTTTTTGATAGTTAATAAATGGCAAGTGTATCAATTTGGCTCGTTTGGGCATTTCGTGCGGATGAGTTAAATCGAGTTGATTATAAAAATGAACATGTGCTTCCATTAGACAGAATCAGGAATCTACCCAGATCTGACAGTCCTTAGATTCTAGCCATACAGTAGCAGAAATGTCAGAACATTCACCAGGTGGGAGGGTGCTAAGTACTGTTTATGTTCACTGTCCCAGCCTAGAGTGACCAGAGAAAAGAACATGGGTAGAGGCTTTTCATCGAATAAGCAGTATGAGTTGACCCTAAATACTTCCATCAGGTCATAGCACCAGAGGATAGCCTAACTGGGACCATCAAACACTGCAGTATGACCAATCACAACAGGGAAATCCAGTCTAATACTTGGATTGGGGCAGCTAGGTGGCATAGTGGATAGAGCACTGGGCTTGTAATCAGGAAGACTCATCTTCATGAGTTCAAATCTGGCCTCAGACACTTACTAGCTGTGTGATCTTGGGCAAGTCCCTTAACCTGGTTTGCCTCAGTTTCCTCATCTGTAAAAAATGAGCTGATGAAGGAAATGGTGCACCACTCCAGTATGTCTGCCCAGGAAACCCCAAAATGGGGTCATGGAGAACTGGACATGACTGTAACTGAACAATAACAAATGGATAGACTAAGTGATAAAGGCGGATAAGATCTTAAAAGAAATCAATCATATTTCTCACCCCTTTGGGGATTTTTTTTTTGGTAGAAGTTTTTTAGGTTGTTGTTTTGCTATACACTCCTATTCAGTGCAAGGTGACCTGGAACAAGTAGTTAATCCTTTTCTCTGGCTAAGGTCACTAGAAAATTAGACGTTTAATCTAAAAAAGCATGGCAGAGTAGGTACCAAAACCCGACTAATATTCAAGGGTCTATATTTACATTTTGTGTACATATACATGTATATAGACATACATACATGCATATATATAAAATATACATACATACATATATGTATATACATATATACATATACACACACAAATTTTTACCAAGATCATAAGAGATTGAAGAGTTAAGATTTTTGCACTGTGTCAAATTTGGGTTCTGTCAACCTACCTCGCTTCAAACTGATAATACTTAAGCTTTAAGTCAATAAAGAACCAATTAATGTGAATATTGTCCTTCTCCTTTTTGTTTTTTTCGAGGCAATTGGGGTTAAGTGACTTGCCCAGAGTCACACAGCTAGTAAGTACTATGTGTCTGAGGCCGTGTCCTTCTCCAAAAGGCACCCAACTCAGCCACAAAACATTGCTAAGCAATCTAAATTGATCAGTCCTGGTTAGGTCTTTTGAACTGCTACAGGCAATTACAAGAGAAAAGCCAGTAAGAAACAAAAATGTATCAGGAAAATTTTAGTTAAATGGGTTTCCTTCTGGCAAAGTGATTGGGTCAGACTCCATGAAAATGCAATGATCCTACAAGAGCTAAAGCACAATGATTGTAATGAAGTAGACACCTTAGCTAAGCAGGCCTCTCAACACACGGAAAATCACAATGAAAATCCACATTTGTTTTCCACTGGAGTTTCTGCAGGGACAAAAGTCATTAAAGGCCCACTTTTGACACAGGGCAGAAGACCTGGGCAGTGTAGGGGCTGGTGAGCTAAAGGGTCCTGTGGGAAGGGAGATTATAGAAATGGAGCTCAGTTTCCCCCTTAGTTCATAGGTCACAAGCACCTGAATGCTCTCATTTAGCAGCAATCTATAAAAACAAAAACTTGGCTATCTCAGGCCCAAGGATTTCCCTGATTGTAGCTCATTTGAGCATTTTGGGCCCAAAAGCCTCTTTAATCTATGGAGGCTTTGTCCCTGTTATAGCTGCTGGTTTATACAGCAAGCCTGGAGGCTGGCCTTGCCTCATGGAACGCTGGCCACAGAGCAAGGCAGAGACAGTGTGAGGTGCTGAAGGGAGCTGCATCCAGTAAAACTCCACAGATAAATGGGTTTTTGAAATGGGCAAGAGGCTGGGACATGATTTTATATTGATTTTGGCAGTGATCACCATAAATCTATTATGGGACAGATGGAGGGGTGATAAATCTTAACATTCTTCTCATGTACATGACCATTCAGGAACAAGTCTACAGCAATGAGAAATGATTCAAACTCAAGGGCTTGGGTGGATGCTAGGGAAAATGCTGCCCCCAAAACCTCATAATTACAAGTAACTGTACATTTCCTAGGGCTTACACTAATGTTGAATGCTGTGACACACTCCCTTCTGACAAGCCCAATGCTTTTTTTATACAAATCAGGCAACTGTACCCAGAGTTCTGTGTCTCATAGTTTGGTACCATGGAACTAGATTTTCATCTAAGACACCACAAGGCAGGGCCCTATTCTAGACTCCTCCCTTGGAGTCACAAGTTCAGGTATCATTCTTTCCCCAAAGACCTTGACGGGAAAGGGGGAGTCAGGAGTCATACGCAGAAAAGCACTTCCCATTTTGGAATTTCACATTTTTAGTAGTTCAAATTTGGCTACTGTCAGATTACTAACCAGATTATTTGAGGTTCTAACAAATATACCAGGTAAATTTCACAAAATTGACAGGCCACTATGTGGATATCAAAAAGACACAAAGTACCCTTCATAGATTCCTTAAGGCCTAAGCTGTATCTCAAGAAAGGCCTAAATACTTGTACAATTTGCAATTTACAAATAATCATACCATAGGAATATCATTGTTTAAAGACATACTCAGTGTCTGTGAAAAAAATTTTCTGAAGTCTTAAAACAGGTTCACTGTTGGTTTTATTTATTTTTACTTAAAAAAAAAAAGAAATTCAAGACACCTAGTCAGGATATTCATATACAGTAAAAACAAGTAAATTCACACATGGCTAATTACAAATTTGGTTGAAAAATTAAAAAAAAAATTCAGTTTCTGATTTGCCTTGCGATTTATAACCAAGCTTCATCTTAACCCTAGAATCATCTCATGTACATAGCATTCTTTTTTTAAAGAAATTCTCACAACACATCCGAGAAAAACTGCTGGAGCAGCAACATTTGTGTAAACATTGAAAGAGACAAGACGTCCTTTTTTTCTGACATGAATTTCCATAGGCGAGAATGTAACAATTTCATAAAAACATCGACCATAAGCTTGAGATTGGGCGGAGCCCCCTTGGGGGGCGGGCAGTAACCACATCACTACTGAACCGACACACCGCTCACTTCTAGCAGTAGTAATTTCACAGAGATAAAAAAAAAATCTAAAAATACTATCTAGCCTAACACTGAAGTTATCAAAATGTGTTTATAAATGGTTGTAAATATATATAATATATATATATATATATATGCTCTTACATCTGATGCTATACTTCTTTCAGAATCTCTCACACTCACACACACATACATACACACACATCCAGAGCTCTCAGTGAACTGTGTCCTAAGGCAAATAAACTTGCAAACTTAGACAAAAGTGATCCAGGAAATAACAAAAAGGGAGAGATTCTTATTATTCTTAGAGTAAGATATTTGGCTTTTTCTTTTTTCTAAACAAATCAAATTCTGTGGAATGAGTATTTGACAGTGCTCAAATGTGTGTTCATCGCCACAAGGAAATCCTACGGTGGGGGACACTTCCCAGACTAATTTTTTTTTTAAATGAGAAAAAATTTATGTAATTTTACAAATGGAATGTATGTTTCAGAAACCATCTATCCAGCTCTAGGGCACTGTGGAATATAAATGTTCTCTGCTAATAACAGACTTAAATGGCACATGTTTAATTTGCTCAAGGAGAAAAAAAAGCTAATTTTACCTAGCAATTGCTCACTAAAAATGAAAAACTTCCAAGTAGGATTTCGTTCCCCTACTAAAGGACAGGGCGTGGTGGCGTCAATGAGAAAGGTTTCTCCCAGGCGCCATGCTCTGTGTTGTTGGAAGTCACACCCATTTAAAATCAGAGAAGGAATCACTCTATGGAGCACCAGGGAGCAAGTAAGCATGAGAATGAACAATATTTAAGACAAGAGCAAAAAGCAAACTAAGCAACGTTTTCCTCTGAACTCCACACCCCTTCACTTCTACTGTGCTGCCTTAAAATGCTAAAAGGACAGCCCAGTGGACTCCTGTGCTCAGGGCAGGGTTGCAGGGGCTATGCAGATAGGCTCTATCTAAAGTCTAAAAACCAAGAGGATGGAATCTAAAAAATGCTGACGTTCAAATTCCCGCAAGGACAGAAAGGCCTATGTCTACTAAGGCTTACGAATGTTGACTTGACTTTTTTTATTCCTTACTGAACAAGGCAAAATTGGAGTGCAAACGTCTTGTTTAAGCACAAACTTCAGCGGAAGCACCTCTGTGGGATGGAGGCAGACTTTGTCCAGGGCGGAGCCTGGATCCACTGAACTCATAGGAACGACTATCCCAGCCCCTAATTCAGCCAGAAGGGACGGATCGCAGGTAAGGCTCCAGGCTCACTGGAGTCATCTTCCTTATTACATCCCACCTGGGCGAGACTGACCTTGTGCTCTGCCATCCACTGCTGAGATCTAACCTCTTTGGAATTGTGACGGCTGAAATGGGGGCCAAATGCAACTGACGGTTTCAAGATGCTAGGAACACGTTTCAAATTTAAGAATTTAAGAGTAAAAGATTCTATTTAGAAAGTCATTCTATTTGGAAAAATAAAAGTCTATTAAAAATTGAGGAAGAAAACTTTTGGACAGCTTTAAGCATTCACTGATAACTGCAAAGTCATTGAAAAGGCAAGAATTTTAGAAGATATGCAAGGCTTCAGAAGAGGGTCAAGTATTCAAAACATCAAAGTTTTCTGTCTTGAAAAGGCCGTGCAGGTGCATCTTCATGGTCAGTCACCCAACTGTCTTCTTCCAGACTCTTCTCATAAGGCAGAGCCCCAACACCCAGCAAACGTTTGCTGTTACATGTGACACAGCCCTCCAGAAAGGAGAAAGAGCAGGGCCGTTAGGTGAGATTAATGCCATTCTGGTCAGAATGTCAAAGCAGCAATGAACTGATTCCTCCCCCACCAACTTGCTCCATCGTTATATGAGACTATGCAATTTAATATTGATGTAAACAAATGGTACTTATTTTATGACTCATTTTTACTGTCTAGAGCATTTACAAGAGAAGGGTTTTTAGTGATTCCAAAGGCAAAAAAGTAAGACCGGCCCGTTTCCAGACAGATCTGTACCTAACAATGTGCATCCACCCATTTCTTGATAAACAGAAGGGGATTTCAGTGACTTTCCAACCTCAGTCTCTCATGGTATAACTAAACTTCCCTGCCTGCTCACCTTATTAGAAGAGCTACCCAAGGCCTGTTCACTTGAGAAGCGCCAGGTAGCCAGGCTGGCACACTCGGATGGGCTGTCCCAACAGAAGAAGGGAGGCCCTCCTGGCTGAGTGAGACCTCCACCTTCTCCTCCCCACCTCTGGCGACTGCCTAGGAGGTCACGCTGCATTCTCCGCCTCTGCCTGCCCCTGCAGGACTCAGAGCTGCTTACCTTGGTGTCTATTTCTCGAGGGACCGTCTGGCTCTGAATCCAAGGGTGCACTTCTGCCAACTCCTCTTTCTGTCCATCCGTAAACCGAGGCTGATGCTGCCTCATACTTGCCAGCTTCTCTAGGTCCTCTTTCAACACATCTTCTTTAACCCTTCAAGAAACCCCGTCACCTTTAATCTGCATGTCTTTTGATAGGGAAGGCTAATCTATTCCAATAAGGTAGACAGTTTTCACTTAGGGAAGGTGGGACACATACATTCGGACTAGCCCTCGAGGCCACGGGCCCCCCACCCCTGGCCTAGACTTTTTAATATGAGTGGAACCCTGACTCTACTACAACATAAAGACTGGTTCCTAAGCTAGAGGGGGTTATTTTCCTTGGGCCCAGGACATCATTTCTCCCCCTTTCCAAAGAATGCACTTGATGCACTAAGAGTTACGATTTAAAATACTCTGAAACCAACAAACACAAATAATGCTGTAAAATGATTTCCTTCCATCCAAGTCTTAAATAGCCAGAGGTCCTTAAGACAACAGGGTTCTTTATCATCTTACCTCTCAGGGACCTGATACGTCATCAGGACGCACTCGGGGGTCTGCTCTATCATCCCCCAGATGGCGTCTCTACCTGATTTGTGGGGTACTTCTTTATCCTCTGATTTCTGCTCATTCTGGGAGGTTTCAGAGGAACAGTCGCTGCTTGCAAAGTATCTGCTGCTATCACTGCTTCCTACCAAAAACCAAAAATGAAAAAATAATTTGAAAGCACTTCTCAAAATCTGATCTGGCCGAGTGGCCAGGCAGGCTGGCTGACCGCCTTCTCTGGAGAAGGCGTGGCTACCGTAACCATGGGAGTTGCTGCCCAACAATTTTGGCAGGAAATCTATTTCTCGCTTCTCACTCTCCCCTTACCTACCTGTGCCACAACCGGACGTGCCGTGAGAGAGTGAGCCGTTGGCGTCGGAACTCACAGACCCACCACCCGATGCCGCAGAACCAGCCCCAGCCGGAGAGTCCTTGTGAAGTATCAGGCCAAACAGCTCCTTGGCCACAGAATTACGTGTGTTTTCATTACTGCCTGTCTGACGTGGCTAGGAAGAAAAGAAACAAGAAAGTACACCTGAACTTCTGTATTTCCAGCACGTTGTGACAGCATCCTTTAATCTGACAACTGAATAACATCATCTAAAAAACAGGACAAACTATGGAAATGAGAATTCTTCTTCCTATTTCTAGGAATATTGCAAAGGTTCCTTTTAACTGAACCAAACATTTCTTTGAGGTTTCAGTCATAGTAGCTCACCTTTATATGATACTTGCACGTTTACAAAGTGCTCGTTTGATCCGTGACCTCGTCTGGTCCTCACAATAAGCTTGTGAGGTAGGGAGGCAGTGCGAGTATTATTGTTCCCACTTTATAGATGAGGAAACAGTCTCTGAGAAGTGATATGACTTGCCCAAGGTCACACAGGTATAAGTGGTGAAGATGGGATTTGAATCCAGGTAATGTCATGTGGTATTTTTGCTTTTAATGCCTGGATTACTTTTGTCAGGTGAACTAAAAAATTGGGATGAAAAAAAGATAATGTTCTTTTGATTCTGATGACATTTCATCAGTTAGCATGGATGTATACTATACACATGGGAAAACACTAAAGAACAATTCCTATAATACTCAATCCTCTGAGAACCTACAGCTGAGGAGTTCACGCTGCTATGGACTCCGGGATGCCAATGCTCCCTTTGCTCTGACTGACCCGGAGCTCTCCACACCAGGGTGCTGACCGCCACCATCCTACTTACACCTGGCCATGCAAAAAGGAGGCGCGTGCTCCAAGATAAGCACCGCTGGGCGGGGGGGGGCCTCGAAGCTGTGGTTCTGCCTGCTGCAGTCCACAACTATGTCTGACTTCTAAAGCCCAGTACACACGAGCACGTCTGGTGGTGGCCCTTCCCAGACACCCTTCTAGGTGTGCAGGCACGTGGCAGGGGCACGTTTTAATATCAGTTTCAATGTCTGATAACAGATTATGTGACCAGAAGACACCTTACCTCAGTTGAGCCTTCCCCACCACCCCCCACGCAAAGCCTGCCTTGGTGACGCTGGTGGGCTCCACGCACGCGTGTGGCTGTGGTCAGCATGGGCCCGAGGGCCCCGTCTGGCAGGAATGACTGTTACTCACATCCAGCACTCCTGGGTCTGCCTCCTGCCCCATGTGCGGCGGGTTTTCGGGACCCTCTGGCATTTCTTCCTGAAGCAGGTTCAATTGTAGCGGGGAGCTGTTCCTGGAATGACTAAATAAGGGGTGCTCCTGCTCGCTCTGGAGCGTCCACTCCTCTTCAGCTGATCTCTGGCTGGAGGCTGGGGATGGCAGCTCTGGAAGGTCCTCCTGCGGCAGCAGTGGTGAGGAGGAGGGCAGCGGCGGTTGGGCTACTTCAGAGCCCCCAGGCACACCCAAAAACGGGCAGGGGGAGGAGAATGGCTGGCACATCTGGGGACAGGCAGGGGGGTTGTGCAAGATAATGGTCATAAAAGCACCCACATAAGGAGAAGGGAACGCTGGCAGAGGCTGCAGCCTGTAGGCAGGACTCGGCCCCAGCTGAGGGCCTGGTCCAGGCATTGACGCTGCACACTGTGCTCTCAGAGGGGACACTGGGGGCAGGACAGGAAAGCCAGCGACCGGGGAAGAGGCCAATGGAGGGTGCAGAGACCCACATGAGCCAGGAGGGTCCACGTCTGAAGGTGACCAGGGCGGTCTGCCTGGAGATGGCATCCCCAGCAGAGAAGGCCAGTTCTCATGAGAGCCACTGCTGCGAGAGGACGCCGGGAGCTTCAGGCGCTTGTGTTTTCCCTTTTTACAGCTGGCTGATGGGGCCTGCTTGGAAGGAGCGTCTCCTAAACAACGATGACAACAAACATGGCAGTGGATGCCTGACAAGTCCACCAGGCCACGAGAAGCCCACTTCCAGGCACGTTTACAAAGTACATAAGCAACAAGGAAAAGGCATTATGCCAAAAGGTACTGGTGGCTCATGATTAGGACTATTTTTTTTTTTAAGGAAAAAACCCCCACTATTAAAAAGATACTTGATTCCATCTAATAAAAGGCTGGTCAATGGTTGCCCCTAGAAAAGGGACCCTGGCACGTGTTCCAGAGCCTTTGTAGCCGAGGCCTACTGCCTCCATTTGTACCGGCCCTGGGGACGCCCCCAGCCCCACCTTGCTCCCAGCACTCAGGAATTCCTTCACACTCATTGTAAGTGAGATCACTCTGTCACTAGGAATGTGATCTACGTAAAAAGTAACCGCTTCAGTACCTTGGAGGGGATGTCTCATCCGGCTTCTGCTGTCTGGTTGAAGGTAGGAGCAGTACGGAGAGGACAGGATCTTCTCCCGAAACCTGTCCACGTAGCTCTTCTCTTCCTTCTGCGTGTGCGCGGAGAGCACTGCCTTCGTGAGCCCCACCTGCCTGAAGCCGTCTGGGGCCACGGGGAATACCTGGAGGCTCAGGCTCCGGGCCTCAGCCGGCTCAGTGCCTGCAGTAACATCATCTCCAGCAGTCACCTCTGCCAAGGGAAGGGAAAGGAGCCACCGGTTTCAACTGAATTCTTTACCAGGACTGTGACTCTAAAAGAGACTAACATGTATTCTTTCAGGGACACAGAATGTATTATACAGACTACTCTGATGCAACCACGAGGACATAAAACTAGGAAAATCACTTCTAAAAAAAAGTGTCTATTTTTAAAAAATGTCTTTTTTCTCACTGACATTGTTTGGTTGAGCCCTTTGGTCTGTGAAGGCTAACTTTACAAAATCCACATTTGTACACAATTTGAATGTTGCCAAGACATTTACAAATGCCATTAGAAATGTGGTAACATGTTGTGATAATACCAATAAGTGAGGTTAATGATATGCCCAAAATACTAAATGTCCTACAGGTAAAAATCCTATTTCACATTCAAATCATTTAAATGTTAGGGAAAATGTTACTAAGGTTCAGAAACATTGGGAGGAGGAATTCAAAACTGAAACATCAATCCATCCAACCTCTTTGTGATGACCTAAGAAGTTTGAAGCCACTTCACTGAGCGGGAAACTGGGCCGGGAGGAAAGTGCAAGTGTGCGCCTGGCTGTGCCAGCAGAGGGGCCCAGGTGCTGCTGGTGAGCCTGGCCTGCCTGAGGAAGTGAGCATCACTACAGCACCCACGCCCCTTTGCACAGCGCTGCCAGCACCCTGATGAGATAGAGCGGATCCGTGTTTCATTCCACCAGCCTACTACACAGGATGCCCTCAGCCACTGGACAATGACCGTGGTCTGTCTGGCCAATCTGACCACCTCTTCACATCCCCACCCCGCTCCGCCCTTGTTAGATGTTACCCAGGAGGCAACCCACACATGCTATGACAACAGAGCCAGGCAGAAGAAAATTAAATCTGTAGATGATCGAGAAACTTCATTTTAGCCATTAGCCTCCCCAAATTTTTTTTTCATTTCTCAGACCATCCTCCAACAAAAGTGAAAAGCAAAAAAGCCCAAAAGGAGTGCAAGAAGACTTAGAAAATTGGTCCCCCAAACAAATGTTTCTATTGTCAAAGGAGGAGTGACTTTTTCATTTGTTCTCTACGCAACAACCAATATCCCACTGTCTAAACAAAATGCATTTTAAGCTGTTTGGCTAAGGGGCTCGACTTGACCTTTTTTTTTGTGTGAGGCATTTGGGGTTAAGTGACTTGGCTAGGGCCACACAGCTAGTAAGTGTCAAGTGTCTGAGGCAGGATTTGAACTCAGGTCCTCCTGACTCCAGGGCCGGTGCTCTATCCACTGCGCTACCTAGCTGCCCCTGACTTGACCCTTTCTTTAAAGGTCAGTGGCCCCATCAATAAGAGGACTAAAGAAAAAACCGTAACTAAAATGAATGATCACGCTTTCTCAAAAACCCTTAAAAGTCAAGGACAGGAAAAGGTCCTCATAATCCAGAGGGCTATAAGAAGAACACACAGAAAGGCGGCAGCAAGGCCAGCTTCAGGGCCTAGGAGCAGCCCCCTGGGGGTCCATACCTGATTCCGGATGGGGGACGTGCACCAGGGTGCTGCGGTAGCTGCACTGGCTTGTGGCGGAGAGCACACTCATGGCTTTGGGGGAGAGTGCCAGCTCTGTGCCGTTGTCCTCAGCCCCCCCAGGTGTGGCCAGGACTGGAATCTGGGGAATGGCTAGTGAGATCAAAGAAACACTCGTGAAAAGAACACCAATCCTTCCCTTTCCTGGGTAACATCCTAATCAAACCAACCCAGCAGCTAGTACTGAGCGACCGCCCTGGGCATGTCAGGATACAAGGAGAACAAGAAACAGGTCTGACCCTCAGGTAGCTGCCCATTCATGATGGGTGGGGGGAGGAGATCCACAGAAGCCTCAAGTAAGAGGTGGTATTGCAGCTGAGCCTTGATGGAAATGAGGGTTTCCAGGATGTGAGGCCTCCACTATCTCTGTGGCAGTGAGTGGAGAGAAGGAGTGCGGGAGATGTGAGAGGAAGGACTAACGGGGCCAGACTACGGGGAGAGGGGCCGGGAAGGATGCTTAAGTCTAGTGAGCTGTTCTGGACACGTTGACTTTGAGATGCTTCTGAGACCTCCCACTTATTAGGAGCAGCGCAAGCTGCTGACGTGGGACTGGCGCTCTGAAGAGAGGTTACGGCTGGGCACAGAAAGGGAGTTTATCTGAATCATACGAGCTGCCGGGGTCACAAAACAGGGTGTGAAGAGGAAAGAACGTTGGGGCACCCCTGCAGTTGGAGGGCATGGTATGAATGAAGACTGAGTGAGACCTGGAGATGAGAAAAAATGGTTGGATAGTATGAGGAGAACTGAGAGAGATGTCACGAAAAGAGATAGGGGAGGATGGGGGGAAGGCTGGTCAATGGTGTTAGAAAGATCAAGAATGAAGACTGGGAGAAGGCCACTGGACCAGCAGTTAAGAGATCATTGCTAATTTTGGAAAAAATACATTCACTTGAATGAGGAAGCAGGAAAGCCAACCAATCAATAAATACTTCAGGGCCTACTAAGTGCTAAGCACTAAAGATATAAGAGGTGGCAAAAGACAGTCCCAGGGCTCAAGAGATCACAACCCAATGGAGGAGAAAACAAAGAACCAAATATACACACATGAGCTCTACACAGGATAAACAGGAAATAATGACCAGAAGGAAGGCGCTAGAATGAAGAGGGGCTGGAAAAAACTTCCTGTAGAAGATGGGATTCCAGTTTGGCCTTGAAGGAAGACAGTAGGCAGAGAGGAGAAGGGAGAGCTTTCCAGGCATGAGGACAGAGAGAAAATGCTGGAAGCCTAGAGACAGAGTGTCTTACTGGTAGAACAGCCAGGAGGCCAGTGTGGGTGGGGGTAGGGAGCAGGTTATGAAGGGCTTTGAATGCCAATGTCAAACAGTATTTTTTATTTGATTCTGGAGAGTACAGGGAGCCAAGAGAGTTGACCGATTGGGTGTGGGGGGGAGGTGTGATGTGATTAGGCCTGTGCTTTAGGAAAATCACTTTGGTGTCTGAATAGAAGACGGACTGGAGTGGGGACAGACTTGGGGCAGGCAGGCCCCCAGCAGCTGTTGCGACCATCCAGGCGCGAGGTGATGGGGGTCTGCACCAGACTTGGCACAGTGTCAGAGGACAGGGAGCAGTGCATTGGAGAGATGTTGCAAAGGCGACAGGCCTTGGATGTAAGGGGTGAGGGGGGGTGAGGGAGAGCGAGGAGCCCAGGATGACCCCTTGGCTGGGAACCTGAGCGAATGGGAGGATGGTGTTGCCCTCTGTGGTAAGAGACGGTAGGAGGAGGGAAGGGTTCTGGGGGAAACACGGCAAGTTTTGGACATGTTGAGTTTAAAGGCAGCTGGAGATGCCAGACTGAAGGGCAGCAGAGTCTGGGGCAGGAGAGGTAGATTTGAGAATTGTTAGCTAGGATGGTAAGCCAGAGTGCAAGGGGGTTCAGAAGTGAGTAAAAGAAAAAAAAAGGGGATTCAATATACGAAGAAATACAAAGAATCTGAGAGTTCTCTTCAGTGTGCGAAACTCTTCCCCCTCTGATTGAGTAGTTAAATCCTAAGGTAGATACTAAGCAATCGCCTGAGGCTCAGGGTCAACAAAGCTGGCCAAGGCAGAGTTAGGATCTGAACCTGGTTCTTCTGGACTCCAAGCCCAGTACTTTATTCATGATGCTACATTACTTATATAAGAATGTACTGTGGTGCATCAAAAATCTTAACTTACATTAGAAAAAAACCTTTCCCAGCATAACAGAAGCTATGTGAAACTGGGATTATTTTATATACGAGGAAATTTAAGAGAGTTAATCCTCTAAATTGAATCACATTTCCCGTCACTGATGCTTTCATTTACCGCCTAGCGCCTGGGCACCAGCTGGTCTCTGGCTGATGTGCTGGTCTTCTTCAGAGGAGGAGGAAGTCGTGTTGGTGCAGGAGATACACTTCCTCTTCAAGGCAGGGATGTTGTAGCTCTCGAGGTACCTGCATCAAGAGGATGCCACACACACCCTCTTATCGTGTGTAGGCGCACACATCCATCCACACACACAGGTACATGTCATCATAACGTTTCAAAATCTAACCCACAGAACCCTGTTGATGTGACACAAACATGCTTTCTGTGCGGATCATCAGTCACCACTCTGAATTTAATAGCTGTTTCTCTATATTAGTACAGTTAATACTTGTCCCAAGAGAAACACCTATGGGATACCAACAGGGTCATCTTTAAGCACTTTTTCCTAATATGAAAGAAATACTAAAAGTAGTAAAGATGACTTAAAATATGGCAGAGGGCTAGTGAATGGGGCCAATAATCAAATGTACCCTTGTGTAGCCCTTCCAGACAGAAAGTCTGGGACTCTAGGATAAGTTGCCCTCTCTCCCAACCACACCTGCCATTTTCCTTCCGCACTGATCACCCTCCCATCTACCCCACCTCTTGCCATAGGACTCACACACTTTTTTACAAGCCAGAGCAAGGACCATGTTTTTCATCCTCTTCCCTGACTGCCCTGACCTGATGTGCGCTCTAGCCCCTCAGAGAACGGAGCAACAATCAACACAGCCCTGGACACGACCAGCTGCTCCCCCGCTGCATCTCTCTTTCAGTGTCACTTTAGTTTTGGAGTGCTTAGTTTTTTGTATCTGTCCCATCTCTCCAAACTGGATCATAAACTGAGTGGAATCTTGTCTTAGGCTACTTAGATTCCTCTGGCATTCATCAAGGAGCCTTCAAAGTGGACACATTGATTTGTGGTTGCTTGATGATAACATTTAAGGCAGAATGTATTTAGAATGTACGGAGCCTACAATGACCAGTTGGTTTTACTTTTCTTCCACACCTTATAATACTGTCCACACAATTGATCTGCTGATAGGATGGAATATGCTGGTCTTTTCTCAAATCATCACAAGAATCAGTGCCCAAACTACTATTTCTCAACTCCTGAAATGAAGGATGAGAAGACATCTTGTTGCCTAGAAAAGAAAAATAAGAAATTTCCGAAGGATATGTTAGCATACTTTGATCTGGATGAGGCCACACCTCTCAGAATGATCAAATAATTAAGGCAGAAGCTTTTGCTTTCTCAGATAGTCTCGATGAAACAGCTGATGGGAGCAGCTGCAACCTGGTGAAGTGGTCAGCGGCTGACGGCAGGAGGGGCTGTGCTGGGCTGGCTAATAGCACAAGACCCTGAGTCTGTCTAGCTGAATGGGGAAATGTCATTTAGATTTTAATGGACCATGGAATGAGGGTGAAAGAAACAGAAGAGCTAGCTTGAGGTCTGCAAAAAGGAGGGAGAAGTGATGACATTAATTGGGTTCAACAACATATTCCCCACCCCCGTCCTAATCCATAAGCTCCGTGAGGGCAAGGAATGTGCCAGAACTGATCTTGTCTTCGTATCTCCTGTCGCACCTAGTCTAACACAGCATTCTGCCAATAACAGGTATTTAAGAAATGTCTGTTGAATCACTAAGAGTAAAGAGAAGCTAAATCTTGCAGGTGGAGAGAGAGTTTATCATAACACAGGAGTCAGGTCAAACTGTGATTGCAGAGACAAGTCTGGGTGATGACAGTTAGTGGTCCTCAGTGAGAGGTGACGCTAAAAAAAAGGGATGCTAACGTGTGATGAGGAGGAAAACTCAATAACTCTGAGATCTAGAGAAAAGCTGCAACTGAGAAATGCCTCCTTGCCAATGGAGCCTGAGAGATTACCGGGAAGGAACTCTCTTGCCTGGTCACGACAGGATGTGGCCAGAAAGCTAATTAGATAGTTCAGCTGGACACATGCTGCTTCAAGAGGCAGTGACAAGAGATACAAAAGGCTTTCTGTCCATCGTGACGTCCTTGAGTCTTTAGAATTTTTTTTTTTTTTTAAACTTTTAGGCAACTGGGTTTAAGTGACTTGCCCAGGGTCACACAGCTAGTAAGTGTGTCAAGTGTTTGGTCTGAGGCCGGATTTGAACTCAGGTCTTCCTGACTTCAGGGCCCGTGCTCTATCCACTGCGCCACTTAGCTGCCCCCATTCTTGAGTCTTTAAAAAACAATACAAAAAACTCACCATTGAAAACAAATGGTCCACCATGGAGTGCTGAGCAGCTCACGCAAATAAATAAACCAGGAGGACAGACCTTCTAGGCAAAGCCGTGATATTACTGTCAGCCCCCTGCCAGAGGGGCAAAGCCTCTTAACCATGGCATTGTTCAGTCATTTTAGTCAGACTCTTCACGACCCCGTTTGGGGTTTTCTTGGCAAAGATGCTGGAGTGGTTTGCCATTTTCTTCTCCAGCTCATTTTACAGATGAGGAAACTGAGGCAAACAGGGTGAAGTGACTTGCCCAGGGTCACACTGCTAATAAGAATCTGAGGCCAGATTTGAACTCAAGAAGAGGAGTCTTCCTGACTCCTGGCCGGGTGTTCCATCCACTGCACCACCTTGCTGCCCCTTTTTAACAATGTCAGGTCTTGATAAAGAAAGAGCTACTCTTGCTATCTGGGCTGTGAGAACCAACTCAAAAGAATTAATGAGTGTAAAGTGCTTTGTCAGACTTTGGGCAGCATTTTATGGTGTTCTTGCTATTATTTTAACAGCAGAAAAAAGAATTCACTCTGTGCTCTTGCAATTTCTAACACGAAAGTTTATGTACCATGCAAACAGGTACCAAAGCTAATGATTAGAAAGACAAAAACAACCCAACGTCCAGTGCTGTTAACCCCCAGGTCAAACAGAGGGAAGACAAGACCATGAAAATCAGAGACAGCAAACGGCATGCAGAGGGAGCTCCATGCTTTAAGGTTTTCTGGTGCAGCACCAGTGAACTGCAAGAACCATTCAAAAGAGGAAGGCCTCTCAGAACTGATCCACCTAGGCAGTGTCCACTTCATATGTCCCATCAGCATGATGCATTTCCATACAAGAAACGGTAGGGCTCCCTCCCAAATGACGGCAAAGACATAGATTCTTTGTGGGAAAGGATCGTTTTATTCATTTTGTATTGAATATGCATCTTCTAAAAGTGTATTCTTAACTTATTATCTAGAGCATGGTTGAAGAAAACTGGGTTTCACAGTTTGTAGTGGGTAAATTATGAGAAAAAAAGTCCCAAACATTCTATGAATTCCCTGGCATTAGCCTAATTATTGGCATTAAGTTAATTAGTTAATTAACTAAGTTTCTAAGATTACAAAGAAATATTATTAAGAAATAGATAAGGTGCAGCTAGGAGGTGCAGTGGATAGAGCACTGGTCCTGGAGTCAGGAGGAGCAGAGTTCAAATCCGGCCTCAAACACTTGACACTTACTAGCTGTATAACCCTGGGCAAGTTACTTAACCCTGATTGCCTTGTCAAAAAAAAAAAAAAAAGAAAAAGAAGAAATAGACAAGAGCTTTTAGCCACATATTTTAAAAGATTCAGAAGTACGTATGAAAAGAATCTGGGAAACAATGCTGACTCACCTCCTTGTCGCTCTGTACCTGATCCTACAAACTGTTGGTTTGATAATTTGGTCCTTGATTCAATATACAGCTGTTGACCCAAGTTTTTGATTCTGTTGACAGTGGCACAGACTTGCTGCAATGTCATCTTAGGAGGGAAAGGAAAACAAAAGCAAAATGTATCAAAATATATGACAAAAGAAAATGTCTTAGGGTCATAGTTTGATTTAGCATTAGAAAAGTTCTCAGTCCAGCATCCTTATTCTATAGAAAAGGAAACTGAGGCACAGGTGAAGTGCCTTGCCCAGGGCCACACCCACCCACACCCACACTCAGCACCACTGTCTGAGGCTGGCTGTGAGCTCACACCTTCTTCCTGCTCCCAGACTGGACATTGTCTGGCCTGGGCTGCCTACCTACAATTCATGACCCCCCAAGCACAGAGTCACACTGGCCCAAGCCAACTCTGAATACTCTAGTTGCAGATATGCCTTTCTGTGGAAGGAGCCTCGGTAATTGGGCCAAGCTTGTGCTGTATTAGGTTTTACAGGGACATTCCCAAGTCTGGTTTTGCCCACAGAGGTCACTAGTCACGAGGGGGGTGCCACGGGGCACAGAGCTCAGGGCATAGAGTTAGGAAGACCTGGGCTCAAATCCAGCTTTAAACACTGACTGGTGGGGTGTTCCTGCGCAAGTCACTTCTCCTCTGCCTGCCTCACTTTCCTCATCTGTAAAACAGAAATCACAATAGTTCTTATCTTCCAGGACTGTTGTAAGGATCGAAATGACATAACATTTACGCAGCTCTCAGCACAGCCCCCGGCATGTAGTAGGCACTTAATAAATGTTAGTAGTTATTCTGAATTAACTCAGCTATTTCAGCAAGTGATTGGCTCAGAACTGACACTTTATCAGGGCCACATGTGGCCTCAAGGCCACAGGTTCCCCACCTCTGCTTTAGTTCATTCTAATTAAACTTACAAAAGTAAAGAAAATTGCACTCAAAAATAACTAAGGAACTCACTGGCTCCTTCTGTATTTCCTCGACACAGTTCCCGCTGGATTCACTGGATGATGCAATGCTAATGTAATGTTCCTGCGACCCATTGCTTCCCAGGCTGCCGTAGCCACTGGACCCACTGACATGAACTGGCTGCAAGAACAAATGTCTGGTGAGCTCCAAGAAGATGTGTCTGAGGGCCTCTCAGAAAACAGGGCTCCCTTGAGCTTCCCTCCCAAGTTTGGTACACAACGTGGGAATATTCTAACTCTGCTGGCTGGATGCCAAGACCTGGCCTAGAAGACCACTAGGGACTCAAAGTGAGGCAAGAACTTGACATCTGCGAGCAGCTCCAAACAAGAACACAACCACCCTCAGTGGCTCTTACTTAGCATGCTTTCTATCTGTCCAAACCAGGGTTTTGAGTCTTGTTTTCTTCTTCTATGGCCTTCACTCGACTGTGTTACATGCTGGTGAACTACTTTCAGGGAATGTTCTTTTGACTTATCGATTCTAAGGACATGAGACCCTCCAGGCCTCTTCAAGAAAGCCCCTTTCTGCTGTGCTGTTCGTAGGGCCATATTCTAGTCCGCCATCTTGCTTGATGAATGGGCGATCCTTAAAACAAGAGCCTTAGGCTCTTGAGACTCTGCCCAGTCAAACCATTTGAGAGGAGGGAGTTGCCCAACAGAGGGATTTCTAAACATTGAGGTTATATAAAACTTTTCATTACCCAGGCCCTTGACCCCTTAAGCTACATTCAGGGAGAGTTGAGAAGTGAACAAATTAAAACATAAAATGACCTGAGATTTCAAGCATCTCAAAGACAAAATTTTCAGAGCTAGAAGGGATTGTGAAGGTGATACAGCCTAACACCTTCGTTTAACAAACAAGGAAACTGAAGCATTAGGAAGGTGAGCAACTTGTTCCAAGTTATATAAGTGGCAAAGGTGGGGTTCAAACATGTGTCAGTCTTTCTGCTTCCAAACCCACGGAAGCCCTAGGAATCTAGAAAAGTCTGAAAATCACTGGGCTGGCATAAGGGCTTACACTGTATAAATATTTACACCAGAATAGACCCTACAGAAATAACCTTGTATTTTAGGGAAGTATTGAAATGATTCTAGAAATAGACACTTTTAATAATTCATTCCACAGCCTAATTTTACCTTCAACCTCTCAGTGGCTAGGGAGAATGTGGAATTCCATATTCCCAATGGATTGTTTTTCTCTTGGAATCGTTAAGATATACTTAAGTAAAATCCAGAGGTTGAATGCATTGGTATGTCTGGGACAAAGAGAGAGAATGAAACAAAACCTCTAAAGAATACAGAGAATGAAAAGTCTACAGCTTACTATCCCCCAATGAGGTTGGAACATCATCACTTCTCACAAATATAAAGAGGTACCTGCATTGACCGAGAACAAGGGTAAGAACTATCTACCCCAACAAAAAGAGTGAGATGCAAGGCTTTTCTGGGATGGACAGAGGAGGGCCACTTCTCTACCATGCATGCAGCCAGGGTAGGCCGCTCACTGGTGCAGAGGAAGGCCGAGCCGTGGTGGGCTGTGCCAATTGAGTCTGCCACTATGTCAGTAGGGGAGCCCCTGGAAGCGGGGGCGGGGGGCGACCAGGTCTCCTGGGGAGAGGCAGGCAGAGCAGCCTGGGTCAAGCTGCCTGTACCTGCGGCCATCACGGTGGGGTCGCCTTGTGCATGTTGGGACAGCCTGTCTCAAACCAAACCAAACTAAACCCTGCAGGGCCTGGGAGGAGGGCGCATTTTTAGATCCCATTTTACCTGCAAGAGAAGTTTGTAAATCTGATCTTGTAATTCCATTATATCTTTGTCAATACTGTTCATCTTCTTGATTCTGGCAGCAAAAACATCTTCATTTAATGGGCTCCTGTGAAATGCCAAGTGAAAGACAGTGTGTGCCAAGTTGGATGGAAAACTCACTTAAAAATACATATATATGTAAAGTATTTTATACAACAGATTCTTCTGAAGATGACCTATACACTTCTTCCACAGGACTCTGTTCTTTGACTCCAGGAAAAAAAGGAGGAAGCAACAATCCCACGTGAGGACACATAAATACTAAGAAAAGCTGCAACATTCTCTCATTTCAGTGATTCGTGAGGAACGTAGGGCGTGAGGTCTCACTCCCAAAATTCAGTCCCTGAAAATCAGAGTCCAGCAGACCAGACCTTGGTCCTTCTGGACTGAGTATGTGCATTTTTTTTTTTTTTAGGCAACTGGGGTTAAGTGACTTGCCCAGGATCACACAGCTAGTGTCAAGTGTTTGGTCTGAGGTCAGATTTGAACTCAGGTCTTCCTGACTTCAGGGCCGATGCTCTCTCCACTGCACCACCTAGCTGGCACCCCCCCCCCCCCCCCCCCCCCCCCCCCCCC